GTTGGGTGGACAAGGCGAATTTTGGGCTGATCGCTGCCATCGTTTTCCCTCACTTTTTGTTTCGCCCCTCGCCTTCCAATCAAATTCTTCCGAGTTAGAGCAACTGCAAAACACTTGCGGCACTTGATACCCTGGCTTTAACCCAGCACGAAAACCCTTTTTCGCGAGCTGCGACATGAGGTAACTGCGATTTGGGGCGTCTGACCCAAACCGTTTTTTGGGACGCACCCAGCTGGCGCCAGCTCCCATTTCATCCGCGATATGAGACGCGGTTTGTGGGGGAAACGATTTTGGGATCGTTTTCAGTTGTCGTACCCGAGTTCGTAAAAAGGTGTCCAAAACCCCCAATTGAACTATTTGGACCCGCCCTGAGTGGCGTGTAATATCAGTAGCTATGGATGCATGGAGGCGGTGTGAGCTTACACCATAGCCGTAGGCAGCTGTCGCACGGATGATGACGTAAGGAAGGAAGGCTGAATGAACTCCGCGCGAAGGAACCTGTTCCAGGCGTACGGTTTGCTCGTTCCCTCTCTCTGCGTGTGCGGCGTTGTTTACTCCTAGATGCTCGAAACATGTTCCCGGCTATACCAGCGTCGACATTCTTTTGAAAGAGCTCCGTACGAAAGTATCCGCGTTATTGTTTGCTCGTTCCCTCTCTTTGCGTGTGCCCCCGGACGGGCGTGTTCTTCGGAAGCCTGCGTCGAACGCGTGTCAGGCTCTACCAGCGTCGATATTCTTCTGTTCGGTTGTTAGGCTTCAGAGGTCAGCGTTCGAGAGTTGGTTGGAATAGAACGGACGAGTGCGCAGTGACAGTTTCACGTGCCTCGACACGGCTTTAAGTAGCTCCAGGGGGAGCTCGGCTACACGAACCACCACTGTGGTCCAATCACGGCTCGCAGCCATGGGGATTGTCCTGGGTCGGATTAACGTCGAGACGCCGCAATTCACGGTAGAGGCGAAGACGGATAGATTCGAGATTCGACGGTACCCGCCGCAGATGGCGGCCGAAGTGACCTACGACGGCGACCACCAGGTGCGGAGAAATTATCTTACCTCTGAATAATAGTACTTACTTCATAAATTTATGTTTCCCGTCCCTTCGCAGCTATTTGTATTTTGCCTCAACACCAGACATTCTTCTCAACCTAAAAAAAAAAAAAAACATGCGCTGAAGGTTTTTTTTTTTTTTTTTTACTTGTCCTCTTTACTGAGTTAGAAACTGCTAGTGTTTCACTAATATCTTTAAATTCACTTATTCCTCCATGCACTTCCTCCTACAGAACGGCATCAACAAGGCCTTCTCCGCACTTGCAGGGTACATCGGCGCCCTCTCAACCCCTCAGAACCGACCAGCAACTGCCAAGCCAGACAACGAAGGAGAGGGGCTACGAGCGAGGGAGGCACAAGCGAGAGAGTCACAACCGAGGGAGGCTCAGCTCAGCCGCAGCACATTGCCATGACAGCGCCCGTGCTCACGCACACCGCAGGAGCAGCAGGGGGGGGCAGTGAAGAGAAAAAGAGCGGTTCAGGAGAGAGGATTGCCATGACGGCGCCCGTGCTCACACATACTGCAGGAGCGGCAGCAGCGGGGGGAGATAGCAATACTGTTACTGCTGCTGCTGGAGAGAAGATTGCGATGACTGCTCCCGTAGTGACAGGTAGGATCTTTTGCTTTTCACAGGAGCTTTCGCTTGATGCAGGATTTTTTGCAGGATTTCCGGCAGGATTTGTCTGCTGTCAGACGTTTCTGCGCAAGAAGCATCCCACATGCAAGCATCACACATGCAATCATCAAACATGCAAGCATCACACATGCACTCATTAAACATGCAAGCATCACACATGCAAGCATCCCACATGCAAGCACAACATGCAAGCAAACATCAACAACATGCAGCATCAAACATGCAAGCATCACACATGCAAGCATCACACAAAAACACATGCAAGCATCACACATCGCATCACACATGCAAGCATCACACATGCAAGCATCACACATGCAAGCATCACACATGCAAGCATCACACATGCAAGCATCACACATGCAAGCATCACACATGCAAGCATCACACATGCAAGCATCACACATGCAAGCATCACACATGCAAGCATCACACATGCAAGCATCACACATGCAAGCATCACACATGCAAGCATCACACATGCAAGCATCACACATGCAAGCATCCCACATGCAAGCATCACACATGCAAGCATCACACATGCACGCATCCCACATGCAAGCATCCCACATGCAAGCATCACACATGCAAGCGTCACACATGCAAGCATCACACATGCAAGCATCACACATGCAAGCACCACATGCGAGCATCCCAAATGCAATTGTCGCACATGCAAGCATCACATGCAAGCGTCGCACATGCAAGCATCACACGTGCAAGCATAGCAGCTACGTCTCATCACATAATCACCACTTCCCCCTGCTCCCCTTCCCCTTCCCCTTCCCCCTTCTCTTCCCTCTTCCCCTTCCCCCTTCCCCTTCCCCCTCCCTTCCCCTTCTCCTTCCCCCTCCCCTTCCACTCCCCCTGCTCCCTTCCCCTCCCCCTCCCTTCCCGCTCCCCTTCCCCTCCCCTTCCCCATTCGTATCCCTACCCTCCCCGCCCCTTCCCCGTCCCTCTTCCCATCCCCTCCCCCGTGCCCCTCGCCTTCCCCTTCCCGCTTTCCCTTTCCACCTCCACACCCGCCTCCCCAGGCAAGCATCACACAGCCAAGCATTACACATGCCAAGTCCACGATGCAGTTTCTGCTGCCAGCGGCCCTCACCCTGGCCAACACACGTATCCCCACTCGCACGTTCAGGAACCACTCTCTTTCGCACGTTCAGAAGTTCTCCAGCTGCCACCTCGTCTCCTGGGTGCCGTCCTTACATGCTCCTCTGTTCTTTCCTTCCCACTTTGGCCCTCTTTCCAGCCTCCACGGCCACCTCCCCAGACAAGACCACCATGCAGTTCCTGCTGCCAGCGGCCTCACCCCCGGCCAGCACGCCCGTCCCACCAACCCAGCAGTGCGAGTGCTTCAGCTGCCCCTCGCCTCCTGGGTGGCCCTCACATTTCTCCTCTCCAATTTCCCACTTTCCCTTACCCCCCTCCCCAGCCTCCACGGCCGCCTCTACTCCAGGCAAGACCACGATGCAGTTCCTGCTACCAGCGGCCTCACCCCGGCCAGCACGCCCGTCCCACCAACCCAGCTGTGCAAGTGCTTCAGCTGCCGCCTCGCCTCCTGGCTGCCGTTACTTTCTCTGGCCTCACAACACACTCCGTGCTCGAGCACAAGTCCCAGGAGCTGAGGAGCGCGCTTGAAGCGGCTGGGTATAGAATTGGTGGGGATTATGTGGTTGGGAGGTACAACCCGCCATTCACCCTTCCGTTTATGAGGACGAATGAGATTCTGTATCCAGTGGAAGAGTAATTCTGTGGACTCCGCTGTCTGTAGGCATTGTGTGAATTGTGGCTAGGATAAGCGTCTTAGAAACTTAGGAGGCTAGGTCCCTAAAGTTAGGACACTAGCTTAGCTAGGATACTAGGAAGGCCGCCATAGAATGGCGTGAGGAATATGGATCTAGGAGGGGAGAGAAAGTCGAGAAGAAAGAGGGTTGGATTAGGAAGGAAGAGAGGTACAAGGAGGGGATTGTACCCTCTAGAGAAAGGTTCAGTAACAACCTACCAAGCCTATATTAAATTATAACTAGATAATTTTAACACACCCCCTAGGCTTGGTAGTCACACACCCACCCAACCCACCCCTAACCCCGCACACCCTCAAGCTCGTGCTTAGCCGGGTATCTGACCCTCGTGCAAAGCGTTGACACACCCCCGTACACAAGGCAGCCGACGGCGTCTGGGCGGGTCAGCGACAAACAGCAGCGGGGCTCTGGCTCAAGGCGGCTGGGTCGCTGACGACAGGCGGCGACAGCCGCGGCCGAGGGCTCTCGGCGGTGTGGCAACGTCCGGGCAGAAGACAGCAGCTGCGACAGGAGGAAGGGAAGACGCAGGGGTGAAGGGAGAATAGGGCGGGGGGGGGGGGGCGGGGCGGGGTGGGTCTTCAGCGTCGCACCATAAATGGCGCGGCGCTTACTGGCAGGACGACGGCGTCCTGAGGACGCCCGTGGCTGGCGAGCGGGTGGCAGGCCCGCGACGCCAACGACGTCGCTTGGCCGGCCGCAGACGAAAGACGCCATCGACTGCCCTAGACGCCGCCACAGCGCACCGTCAATGCCGCAGCAGCGAGGCGGACGGGCGACGGCTGCACCAAGGGGCCGTCGCGACATCTTGGCGCCGCGACGGCAGGCAACAAGGGGCCGTCGCGACATCTTGGTGCCGCGACGGCAGGCAGGCAGAAAACCGCGAAGGCTGCGAATGCAGCAGGAGTACGCAACGGGAACGTAGAGAGAGGGTCCGGTGGACACGACCGGCTCTGATACCATCTTAGAAACTTAGGAGGCTAGGTCCCTAAAGTTAGGACACTAGCTTAGCTAGGATACTAGGAAGGCCGCCATAGAATGGCGTGAGGAATATGGATCTAGGAGGGGAGAGAAAGTCGAGAAGAAAGAGTGTTGGATTAGGAAGGAAGAGAGGTACAAGGAGGGGATTGTACCCTCTAGAGAAAGGTTCAGTAACAACCTACCAAGCCTATATTAAATATAACTTATATAATTTTAACAAAGCGCCCTCTTTGACAAGGGAATGGAATGTAATACCCAAAAAAAGAAAAAAAGAAAAAAAAAGAGACTCACTCTCGCGTGCAGGAACCACTTTCTTTCCGATCGTCTTTCAGCGCATACAGAATCTCATGCGGAACCACGGATAGAACCACGGAATCGTGAACGGGTCGTTGTATGGAGCCAGCAAATACTTCCCTGCACTTCCATACCCTGCTTTCTCCAATGCCATTTTCAGCTCCTGGGACTTGAGAATGCCCCAACACCGAGTGAGTGGCGAGACCTGAGAATGTGAGAGCACCCATGAGGCGGGGCGGCAGCTAGTGCACTCTTGCATGCTCATGAGCCGCTCTCCTTTCTACTACCCTCTTTCAGCGGATACAAGATCTCATTCGTGCGAAACCACGGAATGGTGAACGGGTCATTGTATCGAGCGAGCACATACTGCCCTGCAATGCCGTACCCGGCTTTCTCCAGCGCACTCCTCAGCTCCTGCGATCTCTGCTGCAGCACCGAGTCAGTCGTGAGGCCAGAGAATGTGAGAGCACCAATCAGGCGAGCAGGCAGCTGGTGCACTCTCACTGCTGGGTTGGTGGGGACGGGGGTGTTGTCTGGTGTGAAGGACGCTGGTAACAGAAACTGCATCGTGGTTTTGCTTGAAGCTGTTGATTCGGAGGCTGCTGTCTCCGCTTCTGCTGCTGCCGCAGGGGCTGTTACCACTTCTGTAATCACAGGAGCAGTCATGGCTATTTTCTGTGGCCCGCCACCACCATCAGCGGCAGCAGCAGCAGCATCAGCGGCACGGGTTTCTGTGATCACCGGTGCAGTCATTGCAATTTTCTGCCGCTCTTCCCCTCCCGTCCCCCCCCCTGCCACCTCTGTCCCAGGAACAGCTATCATGTTCTCAGCTGGACCCAGCACACCTATGTAGCCTGCCAGGGCAAAAAAACCCGCTTCTCGACCCGACACGCTGGGAGGAAGGGAGGAGAAAGGGGGTTGTGAGAGGTAAGAGGGGAGCGAGTTGAAAAGACAGCAGCACCTCCGCTGCTCTCTGCTAGACCCAGCACCCCTATGTAGCCTGCCAGGGCGAAGAACCCAGTTCTGGAACCAACACGTTGAGGGAAGAGGGGAATTGGCCGGAAGTTGATGGAAGCCATAAATCATCACGGAATAATGTGAGCTAAAATTCAGGAGAAGAAAATGTATTTGAAAATTTTAATAATTATCTAGACTGATTGAGAAACAAATAGAGCTCTACAATGCCGAAAACCACGTCACGCTCACAAGGCCAGTCAATCGCCGCAAGGGCTCTGACGAACGGCGAAGATAATCGAGGAAAAATAATCGTCACCTCAAAGTGGCCGTCGCCTTAGGTCACGTCGGCCATGTCATTTTGAGTCGAGACAAAGTACACCCGACGAACGGCGACCATAATCTGATTATCGCCATTGCTACCTGACAGAGCAGGAAGTACCGCAGCTGGATGTGCTTCGCCTTGCCCTCAAGTCGTGCCTCCTGACACAAGAGGATCATGGCCCTGTTGTCAGCAAACAGGACCGGGGCAGACCTAGGTTGCTCATTTAAGTCAATGAGCAAGAACGACAGCTAGCGGAGCTCCTAAGCGGCCATGGCCCCAGCGTAGATCTCTGCCTCACAGCTGGACTGAGCTACAGACGACAACCTACCGGACCTCCAAGAGACTGCACCAGCACCAAGACGAAAGCAGTAGCCCTGAGACGACCTGAGCGTCTCCAAGTCGTCTGCCCACGACGCGTCTGTGTGTCCAGTGAGAACCACTGGCTCCCGTCCTCCTAGCACAAGCCCCAGTCGTGATGTGCTCGCCAGATAACGCAGTAACCTTTTGGAAGCCGACCAGTGGACTGGTCGGTGCCTGCCTGTCGCGACAAATCGAGCCATGAGACTGAGAGAGTACGCTAGATCTGGTCGAGTGCAGGTCATCAGGTACATGAGGCACCCCACCAGCTCCACCAGCTCTGCGTATGGACCACTAGCCTCGATTGGCTCAGCCGGAACAGGAGCAGAGAGCTTGTGATCCACAGGCAGGGGGGTGGGTTGTGCTGAGGAGAACTGGAGACTGAACCTCTGGAGGATCTGCTGCACCATATGAGACTGTGAGAGTGTGATCATGCGAGCGACACGGTCACGAAAGATCTCCAAGCCCAGATAGCGTCTCAGCTCTCCCAAGTCTGTACATGTGTGTCTCCTAAGTAACTTGGCCTTCACTGAGGCCAGTGCAACTCTGTCGGGAGTAGCAAAGATAAGATCGTCTACGTACACTAGAATGTAGAACGGTGTCTGACCCGTGCGAACAAAGAGAGAGGTCCGCAGAGGACGGAAAGAACTGCAGCTCAGCAAAAGTGGTGCGAAGCGTGTCGTGCCACTCACGGGGTGCCTGACGAAAGGCCGTAGACAGGACGGTGCAGGCTCCACTGGGTCCCAGGTGGGAAGGACCCAGAGAAGCGTAGAGGGCGCCGGAGGTAGATCTGCTCGTGCAGACTACCGTGCAGGAACGCTGTGGAGAAGTCGAGTGAGTGAAGCTCGTAGTCACGCTTTACGGCTATGTGAAGAAGGACCCGAAGAGTAGTCATCTTCGGGGTCGGAGAGAAGGTCTGGAAGAAGTCCACACCCTCACGCTGACTGAAGCCTCTAGCCACGTAACGCGCCTTGAACTTTGGTGGCTCTCTAGGTGCGCGCTGCACCGTGTAGATCCACATGCCATTGACTACGTTCACCCCAGGCGGGGGAACTGCGCCGACGTAGGTGCCTGTCGATCTGTAGGATGCCATCTCAGTCTCCATGGCCTGTATCCACTGGGCTGCCTAGGGCCCCGACACCGCCTCAGCGTAAGAGCGCGGAACAGGGATGTCGAGATCGTCTGGGTCGCCCTCTGGGAATACAAGCATGGAGCAGAGATGGGGAATAGCAGCAGCAAGGTAGGCCAACTCGTACTACCTGTCCTCTAGCACGTCACTGCCAAGGGCAGGTGCACCCCCGACGGATGGAGGACGGACAGTACCAGAGGCCAGAGCGGCAGCGTAGTCAAGGCGGTGGCTAGCAGCAAAGGCAGCAATAGCAGTGACCAGCGTGGAGACAGACTCAGGAGGAGCAGTAGGGTCAATGACAAGCGATGCAAGCAAGCGCGAGAGGGTAGGACGAGCAGTGCGAACACCGTCAGAGCGAGGAGGGGGGGACGACAGTAGCGACGACGGAGGAGGCAACGGGAGGAATGTGACGGGAGGAGCACGCGAACGAAGAAGCATAGGGTGGACTCTAGGACGGGGAGAGACAGGACGAGCACCAGAGGGGCGACGGACCCAGTGGGGAAGAACTGGGGACTAGGGACGAGGGGGGGTGGGGGACAAGTCAGGGGACGGAGGGGAGCGCAGGGGGAAACGAGCCAGAGAGGAGTCCGGAGAAGGAAACAACGGGCCGTAAACAAGGTCACGCACCGGAGGGGGAACGGGCGGGCTGACAGGGGAACTTGGAGCAAGACCAAGGAGACGAAGGGCAGACTGCGGCGGCTGTACCTGCTGCTGCTGCTGCTGCGGCTGAAACTGCTCCCTGTCCGCTCCAGGACCTCCAGCGGCACCGCAGTTGCCACCGGTATGCTGCGAAACAGCACCCCCAAGACTAGCACCCTCGGTCTCACCACGTACAGAACCAGCACCCCTGGAGTTAGCACCCCCAGAACCAGCACCCCCAGAGCCCACTGCTCCCTGCTGCTGCTGTTGCGGTCGTGGAGTCTGCTGCGGCGACGGCTGCTGCTGCTGAGGCACAAGACCAGGCGGCTGAGGAGCCTGGGGGACCGAGGCTGGGGGAGGTGCCACAGGGATAGCAGGCACACCCCCAGCAGCTGGGCCCCCAGAGTCAGCCGACTCCCCCACAGTGGGAACCGAGGGGAACTGAGTGGCGTGGGAGACACCAGACTGGGCCGGGCGGGATGGGTGGGGTGCGGCAGGTGGGGCAGAGGCAAGGAAGAGAGGAGGAGGAGGCACAGGAGCGCTGCGGTGCGGGAAGCGTCGGTAATAGGGGAGCGACTCGTCGAAGGTGACATCACGAGAGTGGTAAAAACGGTGGTGTGAGGGGTGGTAGAACAGCCAGTGTGAGGCGTCAAACGGAAACCCCAAGAAGACACAAGGAAGAGTGCGGACTAAGAGCTTGTCCGTGGCAGTGTCGCGGACGTGAGCAAGGCTGCCCCAGACGTGGAACGCAGACGCGTTACCAGGAGACCCGGTCCAGAGGAGGGTCGGCGAAACATTTGGTCGTTGAGAGCGCTGCCACAGGTTAAAGCCCGCGGCCCAAATTGCGAGGCGCGATCTTCAAACGTAGTGCGTTGGAAAGATTTCGTTTTCGTGGGTGTATTGGGGGGTAACGAGACTCTCGTCACTCAGGGGTGCCTTTCAAGTTCAGTGCGGAAGGTAATTTGGAACACTAGGTGGCGAGCGTTTTTCAACCGTCCAGTTTTTCTAGAATTTCATCTGACGGCGAGTAAGCCAAGCACTTCCCCCAGTCAGTCGAAAGGCAATCTCATCCATCAAACAGTGTGTTTGTAAATCCGACGGTTCACGACAAGCGATGAATTTGCGAGAGTAAACGACCTCGCGATTTCCAACGTATTTCGTATAGCCTGAGGGTCAAACTTCATACGCAGTGCGTTTGAATAATTTGGGCTGCGGGTTTTAAGCTGGTGAGTAGTGTAGCGCACGGCGAACGGCCACAGAAAATGGGGTGCACCGGCGTGGACCATGGAGGTGCGAGCCACCTGCATCATCAGGCCGATGTGTCGCTCAGCGACCCCATTCTACTGTGGGGAGTCCGGCAGTGTGTACGTATGGCGGATAACCTCCGCACGACAGAACCGTCCTAGAGAGCCAGAGGCGAACTCGCCACCGTGGTCAGAGTGTAAGCGACCTACAGGCTGGGCGGTGCGAACGGTGAGAAGCCACGGGAGGAGAACGGTCAGCACGTCGGCCTTCCGCTCCAACGGGAACACTGTGGTGAACCGCGAGAAGTCGTCAACGACGACTAGGAAGTAGCGCTCCCGACTGAGACCATGGACTGGGGCAGGGCCCCAAACGTCCATGTGCAGTGTCTGTAGCGGTGCTGTGGTAGGAGGAAACAAGGAGGAGTGAGGGGCGGCGCGCTGCCGGCCCTCGACGCAGGAGGTGCACAGTGGCGCTACCGATAGAGGCAGGGCGGGGAGCGACGCAGGGAGACCAGTGACTAGACCGTGCTGGGACATGTGCCTAAGACGCGGGAGTGCAGGGTGACCTAAGCGGTGGTGCCACAGAAGGGTCGGGTGGGCTAGTGAGCGATAGGAGCAGGACGCGGCAACCTCAGCACACGCAGCAGTGGGCGGGGACTTAGTGTGAAGGGTAAAGAGACCTGATCCAGGGTCACGCTCAAAGGTAGCGAAGTGTCGACCAGTGACTGTGTCTGTGCAAGCAGCGTGTCTCTCGCGGCTAGGGAACGTAGTGGTGACGCATCGGTCCTGGAGGTGACCGACACCCACTATGTTCCTAGCAAACGAGGGGATGTGCAGACCTGTGAGGGAGCCGGAAGGGACAGCTGGACAAGGGAGAGTGGTGGTGCTACGTGCGACAGCTGTGGCGGAGGAGTCTGCTAGTGCGACGCGGACAGGCGCAGGAAGCGGGGTGAGAGCAGTACTTT